AAGATAAGAAGATAAGCTTGCTAACAATTGAGTGGACAAACTTTCTTTCTCATATGTAGTTCTTTTAAGTATGATGATGATAATCCAACTGACAGTTGAGCAAGAGAATTTTTTCTCCCATATGTATTGCTTTTAGGTATAAGAAGATATGTAAGCTAACAATTGAGCCGGAGAGTTCTCTCTCATATGTGGTGCTTTTAGATATAAGAAGATAATCTTGCTAATTATTAAGCGGGAAATATTTATATATTAATTTGTAATTAGATCTTGAGTACAAATTTATGGATTCGTACTTAGGGATGGACCCGGGCCGGGCCCGGGCGAGCTTTTTTTCCATTTACTTGGGCCCAGAACCGGCCCGAGTTGATACCAGGTCCGGGCCTAACTGGGCCGAGCCCGGTTCAATGTTTAATTTTTTTTTGGCTTTCTTGTTATCCCCCGACCCTCCCCCCCTCCCCCCCCACCCCCCAAACCTCCCCAAAACACCCAGCCCTACCCTAGGAAAAGAAAAAAAATGAAAAAAAAAACAAAAATAGGCCCAAAACCGGCCCGCCAGACCCGCCCAACCCGGGCTAAAGCCCGGAACCGGCCATCCGAGTCCGGTCCGGTTCAGCGCGGTTGGGTCCATGCATACTCGTACTAGGATGTTTTTTTTGGATTGAAATTTACTAGTCTAGTAGACTTAGGGGTGGAGTCGGTTCGGGCCACCCGGCCCGGTACTGTGCGGGCCCGGGACCGGCCCGGTCGGGCGGTCCGGGACCGGGTGTGGACCCGAATCGGTGGGAATGGGCGGGGCGGGCACGGTGCAGGATAAATGTGACCCGGCCCCGTGTCCGGTCAGATTTTTATTTATTTATTTTTAAATTGGGCTACTAGCCGTTGGGGGTGGGCTGCGGACAACCCAAACGGCTATATAGCTGTTGGGTGGGGTGCAGGGGGTCCGGGGGGTTGGGTGGTGGGGGGTGGGGGTGGGGGTGGGGGTAAAAAAAACCTATAAATACTCCTAATCTTAAACATTTTTTCATATCTCTTCTCCAATTCTTCCAAAATCCTATTCTTAACTCTAAATAGATATAAATAGTATTATATTACTTATATTTGTTATCTAATTATATATTACTTATATATTTATTATATCTATTAATATAGTTGGAATTATATCTAATTAATTTGAAGTCATTCTATTACTCCCATCCGAAAGACCGAAAGTCCGAAAGAGGTACGAAATTATTCTATTATTTACACTTGTTTAATTACTAGTTAATTTGCTACATTTTTACAATTTTTTATTAATTGCTACATTTGACTCTAGTTTAAAAAATATGTTGTACACAAAACTAGTTAATTCACTAGTTAATTTGCTATAACTCGAATTAATAGTTAGATAAGTAGTTAATTGCTTTTTTACAATTTTTTATTAATTGCTACATTTGACTCTAGTTTAAAAAATATGTTGTACACAAAAGTAGTTAATTCACTACTTAATTTGCTATAACTCGAAATCTCGAATTAATAGTTAGATAAATAGTTAATTAATGGGTAACCTCGAGCGCAACCGAACAAAAGAGCTTGCGAGGAAGAGATCCCGCAAAGGTAAATCACATATCGGCTCTTCATCTCAAAGTCAAGATAATTTTGATACGGGTTACTCAAGGAGGGATGGGGATGCGATGACCGACGAACAACTAGAACAAGAATTGCACCGACATAATTCCCGCTTTTTTCAAGATCAACCGAGGACCATTGACGAAGAAGAGCTCGAGGACGAGGACGACGATGTGGAGGAAGTAATTCCGGAGGGCCACGATGACGACGAGGAGGAGGGTGGCGGCAGCCATGACGCCGACCAAGCAGCCTCATCCCAAACAGGTACAAAAAAAGTAAATCTGAACTAATGGCTAATAATTTTTCTAAGTGGAAGGACCCGAACACCGGGAATTGGACCGCAACTTGCAATTGGTGCAAGAAAAACTGTAGCTTGGGGATTTCCGGCGGATACAGATCCACCACAAGACACCTTAAGTCCAAACACCCGGTGGAGTATGCAAAATTAGGCGGCGGAACGGGGAAGCAAACGCAAATATCGAGGTTTGCAAATAACCAACAAGCTTTTGGTAATTTCTCATACAATGATGCACAAAATTTGACAGGTATGGCTAACTTACTTGTTGAAGAAAATTTGCCTTATTTGTTTTCTGAAAGTCTTGCTTTTCGTGATTATGCACAAACTTGTTTAAATCCGCAATATAGAGGTTATAGTCGCAAAACGGTTAAGAAAGAAATTTCAAGGCTTTATGGTGCGGAAAAGGTAAGGTTACAAAATTATTTTGCAAACTTTGATGGACGTGTTACTGTATGTTCTGACATATGGGAGGATACTTATCATAATTTACATTATTTGGGTCTTACTGTACATTATATTGATAATGATTGGCATATGCATAAACGTGTTCTTGCTTTCCGTGAATTTAATGATCGTCACAACTCACACCGCTGAACATATTTATATTTTGATTGAACGTATTTTAATTGAGTATAATTTAATTGATAAGGTGTTTGCTATTGGTTTTGATAATGCTACTAATAATACTGCTGCTATCCCTAGATTGCGTGAATAGTGTGGTTCTACTTCTTTGATGAGTAGATTTTTTCATCAACGATGTGCATGTCATGTTCTAAATTTATGTGTGCAAGATGGTCTAAAAGCGTTGGGAGCATCGTTGGAGGTAGTCAAGGGGGGGATTAGACGTATTTGGGGTAATGGACAACTTAGGAAAAAATGGCATGATTATTTGATAGAAAGAGGTGAGAGATATGTGGCTTTTCCTAAAGATTTGTCTATTCGTTGGAATAGTACCTATAAGTTAATTGGAGTTCTTCTTAGATATAAACAACATTTTCCTACTTTTATGAAACAATATGATAACTATATTATAAACTCGGCTGAGATCGACACCTGTGAAAAAATTTGTAATGCTTTGATATATTTTAATAATGCAACTGAAACTTTTAGTCATGTTTATAAACCTACCTCAAAGCAATTTATTCGTGAAGCTGTTAATCTCGCCGGTGTTTTTTCAAATTTTGAGAATGCTGATTATGTGAGTTATTTTGCTAGTTTTATGAAGGAAAAGTTTTTAAAATATTATTCACATATTCCACATATTTATGGTATTGCATTTGTTCTCGATCCTCGTTTTAGACTTGGTTCTTTAGAAGAATGTTTGAATTATTATTATGCTGCTTTTTTTGGTCCATTGCCAATGTATGAGGACAACCCAATTGATCCGAAAAAAGAATACAACGAGGTTAGTGATATATTTTATGCATTATTCAATGAGTTTCATACACAATATGGCAATGCGCCCCCTCCCCCGACACAAACATCATCTAAAGGAAAATCAATTTTCAAATCTATGTTTGTCAATCTTATTAAAAAAACGAAATCAACTCCCGCTACACAACAAAGCACAATTAATGAGATTTCTTTGTATTTAATTTATGATGTTGATTTTGAAGAAGATGATGATTTTGACGTACTAAACTGGTGGAAGGGAAAAGAAAGAATGTTCCCGGTTTTAGCAAATATGGCTAAGCAAGTGCTATCAATGCCGGTTTCAACGGTTGCCGTAGAACAAGAATTTAGTTCGGCCGGCAATGTCCTAACACAAACCAGAACGAGGTTGAGTGCTGAATCTCTTGAGAATTGAGATGCTTATATGCTACCACGATTGGTTGAAAGCACCTCGTAGAGCTCAAGAAATTGACATCACCTCATCCCAACACTTTATGGATGAATCTACAACCGAGAATGGCTCTACCTATGCCGGAGATTCCGATTAAAAACAATTATAGTTCCTATTTAATTTTCAAATGTAGTTCCTATTTCATTTCAAATAAATGCACTTGAAGTTTGTTTTTTAATACTTGTATAAAACTATAAAGTATAAAATATAAATTAAAAAAAAAATTATCCGGCCCAGCCCGGCCCGGCGGGTGGCCCGACCCGTGACCTGGGCGGGTGGCCCAGCCTGAACCGGACCCGTCCAACCCTCGGGCCGGTCCCGGGCCCATGTGATAAGAAACGGCGACCCGACCGGGCATAGGCCCGGCCCAGGCCCGACACGGCCTGAATCCATCCCTAAGTAGACTAGTATGATTTGAATTTTGAACTAGTCTAATAAATATTTGGTGTCTGTGTATTTTATAACTATCCAAGTCTGATCTGATCTATTTAAGTCTGATTTGTTTGTCTAATCTTTTCTGTTCAAGTATAATCAGGCATGATCAGGTCTGGAACTGAAAACGGTCCAAAACAAAACATCATTGATGTTTAAAAGAAGTTTCATAATATGATAATATGCTAAATAACTTTTTTACCTTTTATCTAGTTATAAATGTGCTCCATTATTATATTTTTGTTTTGGCAATACAGTTTCAAGGGGTTAAAGAAAAATATAAAAGAATATTTGATGACTTTCTTCACATTTATATGTTATGAATTTATGATCGGTTAGTCTTAGAGAGAGAAAATTGAAAATAGAAAAACTTCTTTTCCTGTGTAATTCTCGTATCTATTTATGCATGAGTAGGGATGAACCCGGGCTGGTTCGGTTCCAGTTCCGGGCCGGACCGGTTCCAGTTCCGGGCCGGACCCAGGTGAGCTTTTTTCCAGATTATTGGGCCCGAAACTAGGGATGGACTAAACCGGGCCGGCCCGACCCGGAACCGGACCGGCCCGTTATTGTTCGGGCCCGGACCGGACCGGGACCGGTTGGCTGGTTCCGGGCTTTTAGCCCGTTTGGGCGGGCCGGACTCGGGCCCAACTTTTGGTGAACCCATAACCGGTTCATAAAAATGTGGGTCCATAACCGGGCCGCCCAACCCGGGTTAAAGACCGAAACCGGCCATCCAGTTGGGTTAAAGACCGGAACCGACCATTCATTTGTATGAGTCAAATGAATGCATTAATGCTTGTATAAAGAATGAAAGTACAAATAAGTATACATTTCCGATATTTTGCTAGTCCTAGGATGTGTTTGGAAGTTGGATTTTGGAGGGGAAGGTTGACAAGGGTTCATGCCCCTCCCTTTCATGTTTGGGAGTTTAAAAATATGGAGGGAATGGTTTTGGAGAGCTTTTGTAACCCTCTAAAACCCTTCAAATGCTCCATTTTCAAGTTCCCCAAATTGGAGGATTTTGAAGGATTGTTAATTAAATGACAATTTTAGCTCAATTTTAAATCAATATATATATTCAACTATTTCAATTCATCGTATATGTGAAATGATTTGAATTATAACTCATTCACAACCTCTATGTCTTTTCAAATTTGTTACTCCCAAACAAGAAGGGTCTCCTCCCCTTTCCTTCCCCTCCCCTCCCCCTCCCTTCAAACTCCCAAACATACCCTTAGAGATAGTACCCAAACGGTAAAAGATGTTGACATACTTCGGAGTTTAGAGTTCCAAGTTCCACCGAGACTAACTGAACATATAAATGATTAACCAACATTCATAAAAAGTTAAACAACGATGACCTATTGCTTTTTACGAACAAAGTCTTTCATGATAGCATGAATATCTTCCTTTACAATAACCCGCATTCGCTTCGAGTCCTCCCACAACAGTCCTCCATATTCTCTAGCAAAATCACAAGCAGACTCGAAAGCATCCTGTGGGTGAGAAAAAGTAATAAACTCCAATAACAATGTGAGACAAAATTTGGAAGAACTTGGCATGTTTTGCATTGATGATATAAATCTATGATCCGTGAACAAAAAATACTGAAAGGTCAGCCATAAGGAAATACTTTCGGTTATTAATTCCTCCATCCGTCTCATAATATAGGATACATTTGGGATTGACTTGATTTTTGAAAAAACAGAGGAGATCACAGTTGTTTTACGGAGTACTATTTTGGCCTTCTAAAAGAATGAAAGTAATATGGTCACCACAAAGAGTAGAAGATGAAATAATATGTAGAAAGAGAAAATAGACATCAAAAGTTAGTAATGTTTACTTTAGGAAAGTTGACGTTATTTTAGGACCATCACAAAAGAAAAGTCTGTGTAAGAGGATGGGACGAAGGGGGGGAGCATACAAAGGATTGCAGATGCAGATGTATTTCGGTAATGAGGTGGTGTCATACTTCTTTTTTATAAGAGCCCAATAATTTTATTTCAAATAACTCAAGGTTGAAATGTTGTGATTTGGCCAATTGGAATTCAAAACTGAATTATTGTTACGGGCTTTCATTTTACCATATGAGCATTTGAAAAAACGAAGTTTTGTGGTTTAAAAGTAACAACACCACAGAGCTGGCCTTAGAAAGGACTTGTGGAGCTTACTCTTGAGGGGAATTCCTCATAAATATGGGCTGGCGTCATTTCAATCCTGTTCAAATCTGATTCCCACAGCCTAATCTGTCATAACACAATTGATACATCACTATCACTATATGACCATGAAAAAAGTATTTGTTTTTCAAACTTGGGACTTGGGAGTGTGCTGAAATGAAAACCAATAACTTGCACAAACAAACACATTCAGTGTCATGTAATAATGAAGAACGAGTTAAGATATGAGGGCATTTAATATTGACATACTATGAAAATATTACTATGTCGCAGGCACACATGATTACATTCATCGACTGAACAAAAGTTAGATATGTGATCATGACCCCATTAATGCGTGGCACATAGGAATGTCTACCTAAAATGTTCACATCTAATGTCTCCCTATCATTATTCATGGAAAAAATACCTGATCTGTGACATTTTCTGGAACAGATGGTATTTTCTCAGCAACCCTTGGATGTGCATTCTGTTGTAGGAAATAAATTATCTGTGCAATTTCATTCAAAAGATCAGAAGTATGTTTATGATAAAATTGGACTTGAATTTATTCTTACATTCAAACTAAACCTGCTAGTTTCATTATCATAAGCCATTGTATTAAACGGCATGTAACAAATCTTAGCCCTGTTTGGTATGAGGATTTGGAGGAGATGGGTGATATTTAATTTATTGATTTGTCTTATAGTTTTATATGAGTTAGGAAGAAAGTTAAGATGAAAGATTATACATGATTGAACAAAACATATACTACTGCATATGTCATCACTAGTGGGAACATGCTTGTGCAATGGATGGACTACTTATTTTCTAGTTTATGACTATCAAAATAGAGATAAATGAGTAAAACAAAAATCAATACTTCCCTCCTTCCCATCCCAGACAATCCCCCAATAAAATACGCCCTTAAAGAAGCTATAGGCTAAAATAGGGGTGGCTACTCCCACTGGGTGCCAAAAAAACAAAATACTGGTTGTTGCTTTGGGTTATCAACATTGGATTTTCCGAGGATCTATTTAGCAGCAGGTAATAATAGAAGTTTGTGGAAATGGACAACATTATTTCAGAATAAATTATCCACTACTATTTATCAAAAAATAATGCACTACATACTTTCAAGTGTAATCACTATATATTTTTCACAACCAATTTAAGTGAATATTTGACATAATACAAAAAGAAGATAAGTAAGGTTACAACTTGCCTGATCAGAACTGATGCCATTTTGAAAAGCTTTGTACAAGCTTTCTTTTGTAATAGCACCAACAATGAGATTCGGAAGCTGGTACTCCACTCTGTTCCAACCACAAATTGTCACTTAAAAGATATCATTAACTGCTGAAACAAGGAGATCAATTTGAGCATAGAATATTTAAAACTTGAATAGATGAATACACGTAATGTAAAAATATCAGGTGACATGTTTTCACACACATGGGTTCATTCCCCGAACCCAGCCCCTTTTTAAAAAAGAAAAGTTTGTAATATAGTAAATCCTTAAGATTGTAATTCATAATCTAAAAGAAATGACTAAAACCCCTTAACATTCCAGCAAGATGTAAAAATGGCACCATAATTGGAAATGAAACGTACATTTCTGAGGGGAATTTCTAGGTTTGGGACATTTTTCAAATTGTCCCTCCCTTATGCACACTTTTAATTTGCAGAGTAATAACCTCATACAGAAACTACTCAAAATGGCCAAACAATGACTCCAGTTATGACATGGAGAGATCCTTTCGCTAACAAAGTAGACGGGAAAGGGGTCTAGATGTTTCACACATCTTTTATAAGATCAGAGGTAGTAACATCATGTGTAGAGTTTCAAACAAATTAGTGACTATTTCAGTCCAAATGTGGCTCATTTGACTCTTCAATGCTGAAATAAAACCATCAAGTCAAAGGTTCAAAGCATTTAGAGAAATACATTCTTGTCACATACTACCTCCGTCCTCCTAATATTGGGGCGGAAGAGAGTGGTGTGGTTTTTAAGAAAAGTACAATTATATGGTTGATAATAAGTTGATAAAGTGGGATAAAGTAAGAATGAATTATAGCCACACAAATGTTACCAAATATGGTATGGGACAAATATAGGGGGACGGAGGGAGTATTTATCATCCTTAATGCATGGGAAACAGAAACAAAATTAGCTTACCTAGCAAAAAGGCGTAGGATCTCACAATGTAATTTTGACGAGGAATACGCATACAGCCTGAAGTTTGTTTCAACGACAACGAATCCCTGATGGTAACAGAAAAAGGGGGTAGTAAATGCAGAAAGGAGGTGTAATACTTATCATCAAGATATAAATGAAATCCTTTTTAACACCATGATGACTTCATGAGTTGTTTCAGATTTTCACTCAGAATTAATTAAACTAATGATTGAAATAATTGTCAATATGTTTATGTTATACCTGTTTCCTCGACGACGTCTCTGACAGGCTAATTGAAAGGTTGGTAGCAAATTTGGTAGGTATAAACCAACTCTCTTTCCGTCCCTGAACGGGGGAGGATATTCACTGTACGGATTGTAAAAATTTACAAACCATCAAAACTTGAAAAGTGTTTCTGAGATACTAGCTAGCATTTACCTGCTGTAGTTTGACAAGTCCCAGATCAGAAAGGTCCCTTAATATATTTCGCTGGACATCAGTTAATGTGTTCGTGTTGTACGCCTAGGAGAAATGATAGATTCAGTTAAAACCGATAGGGTGATGACAGACTCAAGCATAGTGCTCTATGAACCTATATTCTGTTTAAAAATATTCCCATATACAATTACACACACATATATTGCTTAGAAACATACTTCCTCTGTCCCAATGAAAAGATAGAAGGTAAAATATTTTATTGTAGGTATAGACAAGCTTATTAAGAAAAGTAGGCAAAATATGAGATAAGAGTAAGAAGTTGAAATGATGGAGAGAGAATGTAAAATATATGGAATGATATATAAATGGAAAGATTTTACCCAAAAAGTAGTACTAGTGAAGTTTAAGTTCCGTGTAAGGAATAGATGAAGCTTTTTACAGGATTGAGGGACTAAATATATTCTGCTGATATGTGATGGGAAAATCCCAGAGGTTAAGAAAACCCTGGGAATTTAGTGTAAGAATGCTGGGATAAGATCAGAGTACCTCCCCTGCAACATGGAAACTGAGCTCCAAAAGAAATGCTATAAGATCTGCAGAATCCACTCCACCTTCCTACATTAAAAAACAAATAACAGATATCACGAAATGACCCTATCCCTTATTTAATTTATTCTTTACATTATAATGCTTTTAATGTAAAGCACTATAGTGTATCCCTGTCTCAATAACAGATATCACGAAATGACCCTATCCCTTACATTGGTGATCGTATGACTCAAGATATCGAAAAAGTTAAGTGTGTGAAAGATGTTGATCAAAGGGTACTAATGACGGACGAGGAAATAAAAGAGAGGTGGAGGTTATACTTTGATACCTGGTTCAGAGAAAATAAAGTGCAAGGTATTGATGATCTTACTATACCAAATTGTATGGTAAATCGGGACTTTGTGAGAAGGATCCAAATGACAGAAGTTAAAGAAGCTCTGAGAAAGATGACATACCAATCGAAATCTGGAGAAGTTTGGGGGAAAGAGACATCGAGTGGCTATCACGTCTCTTCAACATGATTTGGAAAAACAACAAAATGCCGGTGAGTAAGCAAAAGAGTACTCTTATTCCCCTATTTAAAAATAAGGTTGATGTACTAGAATGTGCCAACTATCGAGGGATTAATCTTATAAGCCATACCATGAAACTTTGGGAGCAAGTGGTTGAGCAAAGACTCTAAAAAGTGTGAAAATCTGGAGAATTAGTTTGGTTTTATGCCTGAACACTCAACAACTGAGGTCATTCACCTCTTAGACAAATTGTGGAGAAGTATAGAGATACTTAAAAGGATCTACATATGGTGTTCATTGATTTAAAAAAGGCATATAATACAGTACCTCGAGAAGTCCTTTGGTGGGCCTTAAGTAGAAAGGCATATCACGTAAGTATATCAGTATCATCATGAATATGTATGAGGCTTGTACTACAAATGTCCGTATTACTGTAGGGAGGACAACAGAACTCTCTATTAGTATCAGAGTGCACCAAGGATTGACTCCGAATCTTTTCTTATTTGTTATAGCCATGGATGAACTTATGAAGTCAATTCAAGAAGATATACTGTGGTGCATGATGTTTTCCGATGATAATGTATTGATTGATGAGACACAATCAGGTGTTAAAGCAAAGTTTGAAGTATGACGACAAACATTAATGGCCAAGGATTTCAGACTGGGTCGAAGAAAGACCGAGTATATGGAGTGCAAAGTTTGGTGGAGGTTGAAGTAGTAGTAATATGTTCCGTTACTTGAACTCCATAATTCAGAAGGATGGTGAATTAGATGGAGATGTATCCCATAAAATCAAAGCAAGGTGGATGAAGATTTCTATGTGATCGAGTGTTGAGCGGTTGAGCGGTGAAACAATGTCACATTCAAAAGATGAGTGTGACATATATGTGTATATTGCATTGGATGCATACTTGTCACGACGGTAAGTCGAGTCGCAGTGCCAGCTGACCGCCATATCGCCTACTAAGTAACACGGAAACGGGAAACGGGAAACGGGAAACGGGAAACGTCGGAAACGCCATTTACCAAAAATACAGGACACGAAACGCGGGGGAAACGCGCAAATATTGAAAATATAGGGGTTAATTTATAAATATTATATATATATATGTGTGTGTGTGTGTGTGTGAATTTTTTTATATGTATATATATACATACACACACATATATATTAAATAAGCTGCCAGAAGGATTAAGTTTGCCAATTGCCACTGCCCACTAAGCGTGCGTTTCATTTTACAAACGAAGGATGGGGAGGATGAAAAACCAGTGCTCTGAAATCACTCGCATCACATATACCTGAACGGAAGCCGGCTAGCCAACGATGACCTGCGAAGAGTGAAGAGGCGACGCCCGTCGATGACCTGTGAAGCCCAAATACAGCGGACTACCTTTGCCCTTTTGAGAAGCCGGCGAATTCTGCGAACGGAAGGAAGACTGCGTAGGCCTTAGGGTTGAAGAACGAAGAGCGGACGATGAAAGGTTTGATTGTTCCGTTTGAGCCGCCCTAAAATTTATCGGATCTGTGTATAAATTTAAAAAATTGGGAAACGGCCCTGATTCGCGTATCACCCGTTTCCTGCGCTCGGAAACGTTCGAACGTTTCCGGAACGGGGAAACTCCCCACCCCCGGCGTTTCCGTGCGTTTCAGATCGCCTAGGCGACAATTAGGCTACTAGTCACCTATATGTGTATTATATATTTATATTATATATTATATATATAATTATATATTTAGATACATAATTATATATTTAATTATATATTTTGTATAATATATTACTAACTAAAATGTATATAACTTAGAATTGAAATTCACAATTAATAATTAAAAACAAGGTTTGTTAATGGGAATTAAGATTAAAAATGTATATCTCAAATAAGCAGCGTAAAAATCAAAGTTCAAACTACTAAGTTCTCAAAAATCATCAAGGACTAAATCATCTCTACGGCCTTCGCCCTGATAATCATCATCATGAGTAGGAGTGGGTGGTGTTTGACCATAGTCATCTTCAACATCTTCATCATCATTTGGAAAACTTTCTTCTTCTTCATTGTTCATGTCTTCATCAATCAACCTTAATGAAGAATTCGAACCACGGCGTCGATAATAAACCGGTTCTCCACGAGAGCTATTAGTTCTAGAAAGATTACGACCCTCAAGATTGCTTGATGCACCCACGGCTTCATCAACTTGACTCCATAGAAGATCATCAGGATGAACAACTCCATTGCTGACCCATTCATTGTCCCATTGGAAATCTTCAAATATTCAAGGGTTGAAGTTTGTTCCTTCTTCATGCCGCTTCTGAAATCTGGTTGCTATCTTCCGATTATATTGAATAAAAACCAAGTCATTCAACCTCTTATGCTCTAACCTGCTTCTTCTTTTTGTATGAATCTAAAATAAAGATAAAAAATATATTTGATAAGTGTTTTGATTTAATTAGTTAAAATCTTGTGTAATTTAAAAATTGTAGTTAGTATTCAAAATTGTAAGTCTATTACTTACAAACTCAAAAGTGCTCCAATTACGCTCACAGCCAGAAGAGGTACAACAGATACTAACTATGCATTTTGCGAACGATTGCAGCTCAACACCGAGTCCACCAAAAGCATCCCACCAATCAACTATAGATTAATCACAAATAAAATATGAGTTAATTTTTAAAATATTTAAACTAAATTTTAAAAATAATAAAAAGTATCACTTACGAGGACTCTTAGATTTTTGTTGCCTAATCGCGAGCTGCTTTGCAAAACTGCCTCTCAATTTGTCATAATCTGTCGCTTGATCACTTATCTTGGCCTGCAATATTTCGTCAGTGACCATCTTTTCAAGCACATCGTTAAACATTGATCATTGCTTTGATGCTGATGTGGGATCGGTTTGTTTGAGATCAAAATATTTAGACGGATGTAAAAACAAAGCTGCCCCGTATAATTTGACCTCCATCTGGACTTCCCATCGTGTCTCAATGATCCGAATTAGGCTTCTCAAAACTCTAGTCTTATTTTCAAATGACTCGCAAATTTTTTTCTTGGCACAATCCATGGCTAGGTGAAAGCTCTGGCATAGCCGGTTTCTCATCAGCATCAACTATCCTCAAGACAATTAAAAGTGGCTATGAAGCTCGTATGCAATCTTCGACTGCACTCCAGTATCTACAGTATCTAACAGACAACACAATCTCACTAACCTTCTTTCCTGCTTCTGTGGCAGGCCAATTTAGATCTACTCCAATCCAGACCGCTAAATTGATTTCTCAATGCTTCTCTGTGTTTATATAGAGATTGCAAAGTGAGAAACGTTGTTGCAAATCGAGTAACTCCAGGTCTTACAAGATCCTTCCCACTCGTCTTTTGTCTCATTGAATGGAGGATTCTTGTATGCCGATAAATGAAAGTAGTCACACGTCTTGCTTTTTCAATGTGGGGCTTGAAATCGGCTAATTTACCGATATCCTCCAACATCAAATCCAAACAATGTGCAGCGCATGGAGTCCAATAAAGCGTGGATATCTTGTGCTCTAGAAGCTTTCCCGCGGCCTTATAGTTAGAGTCGTTGTCTGTCACCACTTGCACTACATTGTCTTTTCCAACTTCTTCGATTTTTTTCTCAAGCAAACCTGCTAGCAATGTTGCATCTTGAGATTCACCTGATGCATCAACCGAGTCTAGGAAAAAAGTACTTTCTGGACTATTGACAAGGAAATTAATCAAGTGTCGATTCCTTCGGTCAGACCATCCATCAGACATGAGTGTGCACCCGTATTCCTTCCAAGCAAGTTCATATTTTTCTCTGAGCTTCTCTGTATTTTTCTTTTCTTTTTCAAGAAGCGGTACACGCAACTCATGATAGCTAGGAGGTTTAAGTCCTGGTCCAAACTGCCCAATTGACTCCACCATGATCTCATAACTCCTGGAGTTTGCTGCATTAAAAGGAATTTCGTTTTCATAAAAAAAATCAGCAATGTGCATGCAGACCCTCTCTTTCTCCTCCTTGCTTTTTGTGCATTGTTCTAGTGTAGTTTGGGTGGGGCCTTTCGTATCTCTTTCATCAACAACCTCCTCAGGAGTTTTGCGAATGATGGAGGCAATTGACTTGTTTTGTTTGGGCATTTTTGGTGGAACATTAAAGAATTGTGAAGCAACATTTTTTCTCTTGGTTGCTGTCCTAGAACTCGGTTGAGAAGTTGAAGTATCTATTTGAGTCAAAGGTACTTCAACATCATCTTGATCGTCATCATCTTCAATGTGGATCGTTTTTTTTTCTTGATTTTCTCATTAGATGTTCTCGCATCTCCCTCATGAGTTCTGTTCTCGTATGAGGACATACAACAACATCTCCATATCCGCCTGCTAAATGTTGCTTCAATCTCTTTATGCCAGAACGCATTTGCTTATTACAGTGCTAACATTGGACGAGGTCTTTATTGTTCAAGTTTGGCCAAAATCCATGGTGCCACCTTGGGTCATCAGATTTCGCTCTTCTAGCAGGATCTTTAGATGGATCATACACGGGTTCACCTTCATTGTCCGTCATAACTAATATGTATACAAAATTAGTTTAAAATAATGAAAACTTAACAATACACCCAACCAATATAAAATTAATAATAAATCAATATACACTGTATAAATTATAAATTATAATAAATAATCCTAAAATTTAAAAAACTTAACCCATTCACTAATATTTCTCTGAAAATTGTAATAATAACATTTTTCTAAAAATATGAATATTAAACAATAACTCAGCAACTCATTAGTCATTTAGTCAGTAGCTTCATAGGAGCACACATGTATACAACTAAAATATATAATTTATTATATGCGTATAACTATGTAATTATGTATTGATTATATATGTATAAAATTGATTAATAAGTAAGAATACTATATGCGTATAATATAAATAATAATATGTATTGATTTATATACAATTATATACCAGTATAAGTTATAACTATAAAACTTAATTAAAAATAATAAAAAACTTCTATAACTAAGAGTCTAACACAAACTACAACACTAACTCTCTAAGAGACGAGAAATCGAGAAGCGACTAGAGAGCTGAACCTGGGAAAGTGGGAAGTCGTCTGCTTCAGCCAGGGACAGGGCAGAGAGGGCGAGACTGCGAGACGGCCGAGACCTCTTCTTCCTGGAGCGTTTCGTCTGCTTCTGGAGTTCTGGGAAGTGGGAAGTTGTCCGCTTCGTATAATCGTATTTCGTAAGTTTAATAATTAAGGAGTCTAGGCTTTATAGTTAATTAATCAAATTAGTTTCCTAAAATTAGTTTCCTAAAATCTATTTTATTTCGCATCTGCGATTCTGGGTAATCTGGGCTTGCGCTTTGCGGGCCGGTCCTGTTCGACTTGGGAAGAAGTCGCCGACTTGTCGCCTTCATCACGTCTGGACGACGCCTGGCACGCCTTTTCTTCTTCCGGCGAGGTGAGTAACTCCGGCGAGCTGTCCCAAGTGCCAGGACGCCTAGTCGGCGACTAGGCGACGCCGTGACAAGCCTGATTGGATGTGTGGACATACCAGAAAAGACGCGTGAGGAATGAGATAATTAGACAAAAGGTGGGAGTAACACCTATAGAAGAAATGATGTAGGAGTCTCGATTGCGGTGGTTTGTTCATGTGCGCAGAAGATCGATTGACGCACCTATTAGAAAAGGTTGAGAGGTGAGGAAAAGAGCGGGGAGGTGATTGGAATAGATAATAAGTGGGCCTATTATTATAGATAATAATAAGTGGGCCTATAATATTAATACAAGGTAAAGGGTTATGGGCTATAAATAGATGGGTAAATAACTAATGAGGCAGGTGATTATTGAGTTGACTTTTGGCTTGGAGAGTGGGCTTCTCGAATAGTCCCAAGGCTTGTATACGTATTGTGATCCCTTCCCGATTCTATAAACATCTTTGATCATTTACAGTCTAATTCTTCATAGATCTGCTACGTTTATTACTTGTGAATTGTTAGCGATCTATCATTGGTATCAGAGCATAGCTCCTGGGAATCGAAAGTGAACGACGATCGCAGAGATAGTTGCGTTCAGGTGGTGAATGGTATGGATGCGTGCGAAAATGGATATTCGCGTGGATAACTTGGAACGGAAACTACTGGAGGTTCAAGCCGAACTGAAGGACGATCTGCAATCAGCGGTGAACGATCAGCGATCAGCCATGGAGAACTTGGCAGCAAACTTGACGGCTTCCATGGCCGCATTGAGTGAGCAATTCCAGTCCAGAGCTAGATCGCGATCAACCACAACAACCTCAGATGCGAACTTCTAACAGCCCAACTACTTCCGGAGGTAACCCAAATCATTCTCACATCCTACATCACATATTACATGAGGATTGTAATAGATTTACAGTTCAAACTGGAAGGAAAATCGATTTACCTATTTTTTCTGGAGAGAATGCATATAATTGGATTGTGAGAATGGAGAGGTATTTCCGCCTGAACCAGATTAGTGAAGAAGAACAGGTGGAAGCTGCAGTTGTCGCGATGGAGGATCGAGCTCTAAACTGGTTTATTTGGTGGGAACACCAAACTGAAAGGAAGAATTGGGCACATCTGAAGACTTCTATCATACGCAGGTTTCAGCCAGACCTAATTCAGAATCCATATGGGCCTATGCTTAGCCTGAAACAAACTGGGACTGTGAAGGAGTTTACAGAGGAGTTCGAAATGGTGATAGCTCCTCAAATCAATGTGGATATAGAGATCTTGAGAGGAATTTTCCTTAATGGCCCGAAGGATGAGATAAAAACGGAACTGAAGTTACATAACTCCGCCTCCTTGACTGAAATTATGGACAAAGCTCTACTAATTGAGAGTAGGAATGAAGCAATATATCTGAAGAGCAAAGAAGAAGACAGGTTACCTTGGAAGGAGAAGAGAACTGCTGATGTTAAATCACAAGCATGGACTGAAGGATTTAAACCTAAAATGGGAAACCCTTGGCCTAATACTACTGGGAAGAGTGCAGCTGAAAACAAGAGTAAACCATCTTGGTTTACTCCTGATGGGAAGAAGGAGACAGAAATAACTCCCTCAAACATTAGAAGGGTGGGGCCACAACTGTCACAGGAAGAATATCAGGACAGGAGCAGGAAGGGACTTTGCTGTAAGTGTGGGGAAAAATGGAACAAAGAACATACCTGCAAATTAAAGAAATACAAACTAATGCTGGTGGAAGATTCTGATAGTGAGGAAGAAGTACAAGGTGCAGAAGTGGAAATTGCAGCTAAAGAAGCAACCACCATGGAATTTAAGTCAATGCAGCTGTCTCTTATGAGTAAGGAAGGGATACCTTCTATAAGGACTTTCAAGGTAAAAGGGAGTTTAGAATGGGCTGCAGGGAGGGCAGAGGTTGAAGTACTCATTGAGAGTGGGGCTACACACAATTTTATCACAGAGGTTGGTGGATCAATTGGGACTAAGCATACACACCATTACTGGATACAGAGTTCAAATTGGTAATGGAGAGAAGATTATCAAAAATGGCAGATGTGAGGATCTAACACTGGGTTTACAAGGTACCAAAATAAATCAGCACTTTTATGTTTTGGATCTGGGGAATACAGACTTGGTGCTTGGGATGGAGTGGCTGACTACTTTGGGTGATGTGGAAATAAACTTTCAGAAACAAAGTATAAAATGGAAGGTTCAGGGAGTAGTTGAGCAAATTCAAGGGGATCTACACTTGAATTCCAGTAAGATATCACTGATAATAAGGAGAAGAATTAGAGAAAATTCTTGTAGAAGACATTGCAACAAGGGTTGATGAGCAATTTGTGGATGCAGCAGCTAAGGTAATCAGCATGGATGTGCTTCCTCCAAAAAAAATAAATGCTTGTCAAGCATTATCACAGTTTTTAATTGATACAGACTCTGGAGTTGATTGGCCACACATGAAGCACTTAAATTCATCAATAATCATCCACCACACTGTGAATAGGATTTTTGAGAGACTACGAGCTACTTTCAGGGCAAATTCTTTTACCAACTCTGAGGCTTTAGAAGTATTAGAGCAGCCTGAAGGAATAATCCTCCAAAGTAATGAAAACAACAAGATTAAGGAATCACTTGGATGGAGTGAAAAGCCAAAGGTGAAGGAAGCAATGATGAAGATCAAAGCACAGAAGCTAAAAGCCCAGAAATCAGCGAAGTACTGGGAGGGGAGGGGTGCAAGGATGAAGTGGAAGTTGAAGATCATGGCTATTTCCTATCACCCACCTTGAGGACAAGGTGGTTGTTTAGGAGGGGAGTATTGATAGGAATAGATAATAAGTGGGCCTATTATTATAGATAATAATAAGTGGGCCTATAATATTAATAGAAGGGAAAGGGTTATGGGCTATAAATAGATGGGTAAATAACTAATGACGCAGGTGATTATTGAGTTGGATTTTGGCTTGGAGAGTGGGCTTCTCGAACAGTCCCAAGGCTTGTATACGTACTGTGATCCCTTCCTCATTCTATAAACATCTTTGATCATTTACAGTCTAATTCTTCATAGATCTGCTACGTTTATACTTGTGAATTGTTAGCGATCTATCAGGAGGAGAGGAAGACCCAAACAGACTTGGATTAGGAGAATCAGCACTGATATGCTTCTTCTTGGGTTGGACGAGAATATGACTTTGGAGAGAGCAAAGTGGAAAACGCATATTCGTGTGGACAGTGATCTCTTTTCACTCTCTTTTATCTTTTATCTTCTTTATTTTTCTATGTTCTTATGTTATTTTTAACTTTTATCTTTTTTAATATTCTTTTATCTTTCTAACATCTTTTTTATCTTTTATCTTTCTTATGTTCTTATATTATTTTTATTTTATATGTATCTTTATCTTATCCATATTATCTTACATTTTTCTATTTTTGTATCTTTCTTCTCCTATTGGCGTTGATATCAATTGATTCATGTCAGCCGACCCCAAAATCTTTTGGGATTAAGGCTTGGATGTTGTTATTGTATTAGTGCTTTTAAGGACAAGCAAAAGAACAATAACACAAGAGGAATAGAAGCCAGAAAAACTCATACCTCTGCATTGGTTATGTACTCCCTGATGATATACCAAAGCTGTGCATTAGTATCCATCAACTGTAACAGAAGTTAGTCATTATGGGTTTCAGTTACTCCTGTTATGAATGATATAAAATAATTTCCCAGCACATACCAAAAACTGAAATCCACTTTCAGTCAATTTTGGTTGCTCTCGGTCATCTCTGTCAAAAGGAAAGTGGACTATGTAATTAATCATTCCATGCATAAAATACATCAAATGGAGAAGAAATACCTTTGACTCATAAGACCACGCTGGAAAACTTTCATCATAGAAGGCCTTATGTTTATTGTCTTGCCAGCTTCTGTGGAGCTCATAAGGTGTAGCATGAAACACTGATTTACCCAGTCAGAATCACTTGTCAAGTTTCAGATTGATATATTTTTAAAAGAATGGAATCACAACTCCCATAACCTCGGAAGCCTATGTCAAAATACGAAAACTGGACAACGGGTCAACCCAGAACCGGATTAAACACCCAAAAGACCAGTCTTGTTAACATTTACCCCATGAATGGGACAAAAGATGGAAACGCCGTCATCCTGGTACAGACCAGGACTAGAACCGGCAAAACCCGCTTGTGAAAGAAAAACTGGTTAGAAAAGGATTTTATAACAACCCGATCTAAAAAGGATCAAAAACTAAATTTTAAGTGTCTGTGTGTTCTAAGCTTATTACAAAGCTGCACTATTGGATTATTAAGGGTAGAGTTTCCCCCCTCAAATTTAATGTATAATTATATGCCACATTTTATTACTATTTGGTCAACAATGACCAGGCTTACCAGCATTGACCAAGTTGACCCAGTCACTTGAATCAGAAGCAGGGACATGACTGGTCAATCTGGAGTCTGGACATGGGGATATGACAAAACATAAAAGAAAATGAAACAATGGTATGTCGAGGACACTGCATGATAAAATAATAAAAATAATTTTGAAAATTTTAAGGAAAAACTTGTAACATTTTTAAAATTGAATATAATATAAATAGAAAACGTAAATATTAAAACAAAATCCATGTAAACATTTACCCAGCATAGCGATTAAAGATTTTATTTAAGTTTTGAGGAAAAGGTGACAAATGAGCCCTTCTACTTTTTCAAAATCATCACATAGGCCAATGTACTACAATGACTATTTAGACCATATGACCTGAAGGAGAGCTACTTGAGCTAGAAAAAGGTCTCATTTTCATTAGCAAGGGTTTAAACAATCTCCAAGTCATCCTCTTCTTCCCATTCTATTCCTTTTTCTTTCTCTTTTCTTCTATCCTTTTCATGGTTTTCCACTTTCTCCTTTGCCCTGTGCGAGTTCCGAGCTTCTATGGGATAATTCATTTTCTTACTCTTTCAGTGAAAGTGACTTAGGAAAGTCATAGCTGCTGACTTGCTTAGGCTAGAGAAAGAGGTTTCCCGTAAAGGAGAAGATGATGATGAGGGGCCACATCAACATCCCGAAGCACAGAGAGATCCTCATCTTTCTGGACAAGCCATTTTCTCTCCTCTTGGAGAAAGTCACCTGCCTTGGCGTGGTGTTGATTGTTTTCTTGATCTAAACCTTCTCTCGGCCCATATACTAAACACCATGCATGCCCCTCTACTAGCCTACTACAGTAGCAGAAATCATGCAAGCCCAGATAAAAAAGAAATAAACTGGAGAGTGGAACAGAGAATAAACCGGAATAGTAATACAAGGAGATGGAACCTCAATCTTTCCAAAAAATGGGGAAACTTTCAGGAAAGTGAGATTTTTTGTAGAAAGAAGAAGTCATGGACATGTTTGCACTAAGGGGCTTTACAAGGAAGAAGACAGCCTTTATTTGGGGATTGTTTTCTGTTGAATTTTTCAATTCAGGCAATTGAGAAAGGCACTCATGTGAGAGAGAGTTGTGGTGTCATGGTTGGGATCAACAAAAAGAAGCATGAAAAAGAAAGAAGTGGTATTCATCCATGGAAGCTCAGGAATTCAGTCGTGGCACAAGAGAGGATTATATTATACACACACATATATTTACATACATACATTATACATATATATGTTTACGTGGGTATATATGCATATACATACATACGTGTATATATACATAAAAGATCCACATACAGCTGTTTGTGCATATATATACATGCATGCATACAATACATGTGTGTACATGCATGTTTATATATTTACATATACATAATACATATAAACACACACACATATATGTATACATATGTATAAGAACAGGAATGTGAAGAAGATGAGGACCTAAAGATTTTTTAATCATTTGGCTAATGAAAATGCCAAATATGATTTTTTCCCTGCTGAATGATGAAGCAAACCACCTTTAGGTTATGTAGTTATATGTGATGGTTTTGGAATAGAAGGACTTATTTGGCCATGTAGGCATGTACAGAAGTTTTAAAATATCAAATCACAAGCAGTATGTTAGGGTTCTGGGATTGAGAACAGGTCCAGGGACGACTTAGGGTAGCAGGGTACCCGGTAGGGTGTCTTAACCTGCCTGCTAGGGTTACCTCTCTTCTTGCCCATGGCTGGAAGAGCGCAGGGGAGGGGGGAGTCCGTGACTTCTCTCTGGGACTAATTTTTAATGATCGATTCCTTATTATTATTCCTCAAAAGCATTATAAATAGGCATTCTGCCTTTACATGATTAAGTCCTATTCTAACTAAAACTCTAAATTAAATATAAAGATAACATCAAACTGGACTTCTCTTCTAATTAACTAAAACCCTAAATTAAATATAAAGATAACTTCAAACTCTTCTTCTAATTAACTAAAACCCTAAATTAGAAATAAAGATAACATGAAACTGGACTCCTCTTCTAATTAACTAAAACCCTAAAAATGCATCCATAACACAGTACCTCCCACTGTTCTGTGGCATATGCATCTAAATCCTCCAATGTAGGAAGCCTCACAGTGATACTTGAGGGCATCGGTTCTCTTGGTAAAACTCCACTGCAGGGTTAAAGTCGTAGGTTATGATGGATTCTGTGCAAGTTTAAACATGTTGGGTCATCTCCCAGAAGTATACAGTAATTATAAAAAAACGCATTCTTCAAAATCATAAGGAGTAGTTTGATACTTTAATATGGTTAAGGATTATGAACTTAATGCCTTATTATATCCCCAACTATCATCCATTCACAAATCTATTTTATGATTTTTATCTTTATCCCCAACTTCAAAAATCTTATTCATTATCTTCTATCAAGAAAAGACTAGAAGTTTATCTTTTTTATCAAATATACTTTTCTAAAATAATCTTTCAAAGTTAAAAGTTATATCAATATTATTACTTTTGTATACTTGTATTTATTTGAATGATATTTAATAATTATTAAATTTAAAATTTCTTCATGACTCTAAGAAGAACTTTAATTAAATCATGAAAATTAATCTTACATATTAATTTGTAACTGAATTTTAATCAAAATCTCAAAATTAAGATAAAAAGATACTCTTTATTACTCCATGTATTAACAAGCTGGTAGAATAATACTTTTGATAAAAGTTGCTAAAGAACTGTAAGTATTTAAGCACTAATACTTGTTGTTTAGTAAAATTAATTTGTTAATAAGAAAACTTTGAGCTCTTCTCTACGGTTATATGCGTCACTTTTACCTAATTGTGTGTGACACTTTTATCTTTCTAATTGTACTTTAGATGCTTTGTAGTTTGTACCATAATTCTATTAGTCATAAGTAATACTCCCCGTGTCCCACAAAACTTGGCCACAGTTGACTTGCACATATAATGAAATAGAAATTGTGGTTGAGATTTGTGCATAGAAGAGAGAAATAACTTTAACTACATATTTATTACTTTAAATGAAAGTGGCAAAGTTTTTGGGACGGCTAAATAAGAAAATTTGGCAAAGTTTTGTGGGACTAAACTCCACCTCTTTGGCTCTCTATAGTACATAAAATTAAAAATACATCCACTCCTAGTTAAGCAACATGGTTAAACAGTATGCATAGTGAAAAGTAGAAATTCACATTAGGGCTATCACGATCCATGCCCAAGGCAATGTAAAAAAGCTTGCATACCCATGGACTATGTGCTTTCGAAGATTGAATTGGAACTTTGGATGTAATTGATAGGATTTATCCTTTTTCCTGTCAAAAGGTCGAGTAGAGCATCAACACTAATAAAATAACACAAACTATGAGTCTCAAACATCACAATCACAATCATCAGGACAAAAAAACTATACATGAAAAATAATCATGGGTTGGTTGATTTAATTAAAATTAATCATGACTTTAAGATGTTGTCACTTGGTAGTACATCAATGAAACACGGCGACATAAAAATGAGATTATAAATTCCTGAATTCCTGAAATAATGTCAAAAAAAATACTCCATGCTTTTAAATGGATAAAAATAGAACCTGATCTTATTTTGGACAAAAATGAGATCAAATATTTCAGTAGAGACTTAAATACTCTGATTCTTCTCACCCTTCTCGTCTGGCTAACTCATCCTTCGTCCCCCCATCATTTGCATCCACTCTCCCTGCGAGAAGCAACTGTGGCGGCTTTGAATAGCGGCGGTGGCGGCTTCGAATAGCGGTGGTGGCGGCTTCGAATAGCGGCGGTGGCGGCTATGACTGCCGCTGCAAATCCTCTCCTTTTACTCTTCTTTCTTCTTGTCCGCAAACTGCCAGTCTGCCACTGCTCATACCGTCATTGTTTCATTTCCCTTCTCTCAGCTTCTCAAGCTTCACCTTCTCCAGGACGCACCAACTCCTACAGCGGCGACGAGAGGCGAGAAACTTCATCCATCCAGTGACTAGCTTCGTCAGATCTGGGAGTCGACGGTGATTTTGGGGCTGAGCATATCCACCGTCTAACCCTGCGCAGATCTGGTATTGCTGGCTCCATGGAGCAGTGTGGCCTTGGGGGGTAGCGGGCAAAGGTTTGGTTAGTGGCGAGGGATGGGGAAAGAAAGGGCGGGGGTGGGAACAGTCACTGGCGAGGGGGTAAGGAAAGTGGCGGGGAGGTGGTGGGCATAGGGGTTGGGCAGTGGAAGGTAACTGCCGTTGGCAGTTCGGCAGGTCATTGGATGGGGTGGCAGGGCAATAATGCATGTGGGCGGCATGTCACTGTGACAGTTGGTCATTGGGGCCAACGGTGGCACTGGCTGGCAGTGGTCACTGAGCGATAGTTAGTCATTGTATCGTTTGGTCATGATCACTTGGTAATAGTCACTTTGGTTTAAGGGTATAAAAGTTTCCTTAGTCTCTTTTTTGGAAATTTTAAAAAAACAGGTCCTATTTTTGTCCATAGCATTTATTTTAGTATTATTTTTGGAAGAACCACTAAATTCATTCAAAGATGGCAACTCAAATATGAGGTTGAGCCCAATCCAATAAAACAAAAGGAGCATCAGTTCAGTTTAACATATAACTTTTCAGTACCGAATGTTCCCTCTAAATTATAGTAAAGACAGTTTCAACTTTTAACTTATAACTGAAGATAGCGTCCATCCATAGAAGAGGAAATCTCAGATTGAACACCCTTCGTATTTAGTTTAAACTAACTTAGCAATAAATATAAGACAACATCAGTTCAATGTATTTACACTACATTATTGCCCTAGCCCTCACTCTATTTGAAAGGAATCCAATGTATAGAAAAAAAATTGACAAATAATTGTCTCACTAACCTGTCAATAGTTTCACCCAATAACCTCAACTGTACTAATCTATCGATGGCTACTTTATGCTTGGTAGATCCATCCGGTAGTACCCATTCCTCAACAGACTTGGCTGAAGTTGGTGAATCTATGAATAACAGTTGAAGCACGTACTTCTTTGCCACAGGAGGTAATGATCTATCATAATTAACATATACAATCACTCTCTATACAAATTGAATATCAACATTTTGCATATTGGACCCTAATTAAACGAAGTAAAGTTTGAGATTTGAGCAGTTAACAAAGAACCACATGATCATAATAAGACACAATACCATAGCATAGACGAGAAACGTGTGGAGGAAGAAAACCTGAGAATGGCTTCACAGATGAAAGGGTTATCGTAGAGGTTATCAAGCTTCACTGCAGGTAGTGAAGCCACCATGTCCATGAAATTCTTTGCGACGATCCTTACTTGCGGCATTGCTCCCAACTTTAAATGTCTGTACTCCCAATAAACAGGGTTTCCGAAAACCAAAATCTTAAGGCAATTAATTCAAAACTCGTTGTATAAAATGTACCGAGCTCACCTTATTGATTGATTATGAAAAAAATATGTAATAACTGTATGTTCGCAAACACAGTATCACAAAAACAAATCTCTGGACTTGTATATGCATACATGAATCATCCTACATATCCAATATAATGTATAAGGTTTATAGGGCTTTTCCATTGCAAACCATGAGAGCTGGAAATTGTATTCCCTGAAATAAAAACAAGCCTTAATTTTGGTCCTGTCTGTTTCAAAACCTAGAGGCGGGTAATTCATAATGGGCTTGATCTAAAAAAAATTGTAAGAGCTTTTTCTCTATAAGCTAACAAGCATAATAATAATAATAATGTTTCAAGGCCTTTGAAATAAAGAAAAGACTTTTATAATTCGCTAAATTAAACAAAGTAGTATCATAGTTACAAAATTAAAAGTAAAGAAAATAATTGAAATTCCTAAACTATATTTCTTGTTGAGCATTGTGAATCGTCAACGATAGGTCGATATCTACATAATAAAGCTTCTCCAACACATTATGTTCAATGTTTAATATTGTTGACGACAGGTAATTCTTGAAGAGGACATTCAGAATTTGACTTAGGGCTGCTTTCTCTAATCTTCTCCTCTTTTTTTATTTCTCACATCTAGATTTAACCATTTTTATTACGCCTTGAAATTAATTAAATTCATTAATTTAATTATAGTTCAAAAAATTACCCAACAAATTATAACACCGAGACAAAATAAAAATTTCATTACATTACAGAAATATTACTAATCCCTCAAATTTCAAAAAGTCAACAACTATTAACTCATAGCTTTAAAAAAATGAACTAAAGGACTAAGGACATTGTAAAAAAATATGAACTAATCAACTGATGACAACATCAACAAGGTCAGAACAAATGAACACACAACAATCAACATTTATGAAAATGAAACTAATTAACGGAAAATAAATCAACTACTCATTTATCAGCAATTATGTACTCATATAATCATTTATCAGTAACTATGAATTATTATACCAATCAAAATGGAATTAAAGAAGCGTACCAGAAGGGAATGAGGTGAGAAGGGACGAAGGGGCTGGGCACTGGGCAGAAATAGGAATCGCCGCCTCGAAGTTGAAGGTACACAGAAGTGCACGCGGTGCTGCCGGGAAGCCGGTGCAGCCGTGCAGCGCACAGCACTGAGAAGGGGTAGGGCGGCAGGCGGCTAAGGCTTGCGAGTTGACCGTTGGCGTGCGTCGATGAGTGAGTCGATCCCCTGCAATCTGTTCGGCTGTTTGCTTAGAGCACCACATTTCATTCTATAAACAAAAAAAAAATGACTAAGAAAAAACAATTAATTATTTTTGTGGGATTTCTTCAAAAGTATTATCAATATAAAATTTATTTACAAAAATATGATTAATAGTTACTAGAATATAGTGTCATGGTAATTTAAGTTTATAAAATGAACATAAGTTACTATGATTTCATTTCATTACTACTCTATCGTAAACATAAGTTTCTATTTTTATCACCATTCACAATTTTTTAATAAAATAATTACGTATTTATTATTACAATAAGATTATCCATAAAAATGTAACTAGTGATTAGAGAAATAATGGAATTATAGCAAATTGTGTTCAATATTTATACTTAAATTACCATTACACTATATTGTAGTAACTATTAATCATATTTGTGTATATAAGTTTTATTTAAGGAGTTTTTTCCCGGAATAATGCTAATTAAATAAATTATTCCCGAAATACTGTCGGGTTAAGAATAATTCCCAAAATAGTGCTGGAATTAACCACGGTTAAGGAAAGCCGTCACTTCAAGTGGCGGCTCTTCTCTTACGTCCCATTTTGTACATATATAAAATGCAGTATGTTTCAAAAAAAAAATAACTGTCTTCCCGATTGAAGTTTGAGCTTAAATTTGGTATGCATAAACTAGACTTGATGAAGAACATGCTCAAAAAAATTCATCAAAAAATTCCACTGGAAATACCCTCTGATGGTGTTGTCCGCGGGGATTTCGGTCAGGACGTCATGACAAAAGGGTGGTCCGGCCACCTCAATTTGAGGTGATTCCCAATGGGATGTTTTGATGATTTTTTTTGCGTATGTTATTCATCAAGTCTAGTTAATCCATATTAAATTTCAGAATCAATATCAATCGGTAAAGCAGTCAAATGATTTTTTAAAGATAACTACGTTTTATATGAATAATCCGGCGTAGTTATCTTTCAAAAATCATTTGACGGCCTTTCGGATTGAATATTTTGCTCAAATTTGGTATGACTGAACTAGACTTTATTAAGAACATACACAAAAAAATTCATCAGCACATACCACCGGGAACCACCTCAAATTGAGGTGGACGGACCACCCTTTTGTCATGACGTCCTGACCGGAACCCCCCGCGGACAACACCATCAGAGGGTGTTTCCGGTGGATTTTTTGATGAAATTTTTTGAGCATGATCCTCATCAAGTCTAGTTTATGAATACCAAATTTCAGCTCAAAATTTAATCGGGAAGGCAGTTAAACAAATTCTTGAAACATACTGCGTTTTATATATGTACAAAATGGGCTATAAGAGAAGAGCCGCCACTTGAAGTGACGGCTTTTGTACTATAAGAGAAGAGCCGCCACTTGAAGTGGCGGCTTTTGTGAAGTAATACAAGAGCCGCTACTTGGAGTGGCGGCTTTCCTTAACCGTGGTTAATTCTAGCAGTGTTTTGGGAATTATTCTTAACCCAGCAGTATTTCGGGAATAATTTATTTAATTAGCATTATTTCGGATTGTTTAAAACATCCTAATAATCCAATGTTGAAAACATCAAGAAAATTCGTCATAGGCTTTCAGTCTAAGCTCTATAACCTAAAACGGGGGTTTACGGATTGTTTAATTTTTTTTAAAGTAGCAATTTGGGCTGAAATAGGGCTTTCCGGTCAGGCGCACAACGATCAAGCACAACGTGCGTGCGTCTATGCGTTCGACAGAGCATTGTTGCGCATGATTGACATGTGATGCGTCCAGTAGCTTCTCCGCAAAAAAATCTTTGACGCACGGCGTGCGGACCTCTTGTCCGAATTTGACTATGCTTTCTTCAGCAACATTGTAGCTAATGAACTCCTCTCTATAGTCTATTCACCACAACCTGAAACACTGGAATTGGATTATTCAATCAAAATATATGGATGAAATGATGGAAGGTTGAATCATGAAACCTCAATAGCATTTATCTCATTTCCCCGTCTAATTTCACTTTGATCCTCTCACATTCTCGTCATGGTGTCTTCATATGATTTGTAGCCTATTGAGTTGTTTTTCATATGAAACTTGAATTGTTTCGTTTTGATTTTCCTGTGAAAAATATGCTCCAACGATTGACAGGGTGTTATGCTGATTCAAGGTTGCGAGTTGTGCGGTGGTCCAAATAGCCGTTTTCATGCTCCTTGAGTCAACGTTTGTTCTCGTACTTGATCCTTGAGCTCCCTTGGCTTCAAAATCCATCCATGAATGCCTCATAGTCCTTCAATACTTGTTAACAACTTTGCAATGTGTCTCAAATCATCCCGAATAATTCTCCAACGCCGGTGTTAGACTCAATTCCTTGATTTTGAATCTAAAAATACCAAATATAAACCAAAACCCAGTAAACGATGACTTGAATTAATTATTTGGGGTTTCTTTTCAAATTATTTGAATACAAAGAGTCAAAAAGGTATTATCCACCATCACGTAGTACTTTTTAAATAATCTATGTCTTTTTTAACTGCATGACGAGTCATTTTTATAATAATGCTCATCGGGAGTTGGGATGTGGAAGTCCTGGATGTCTCACGGGATGGTGTATGAGGAGAGTTAGGTGTTAAAGCGATCTAGGAATCTAACACGTAAGCTAGCCAAATCAATATATGTTTGCTTAAGAAGAACATCTAAAAGCAATGAAAATAGATGGACAATTAAGCTAGAAAAGGAGCAAAAGATGCTTTGTTGCTTCTGTTTCTTGCTTCGTTATGCTCCGTTTCTTCTCTAGGGTTTTCAAATCATTCGCTTATGCTTTCGAGACTCCTCTAAATACTCGCTTTCACCCCAATGATCCTCAAATCATCTCCCTGATTCCTATAAATCAAACTATTTCAAAAGTAAAGATGAAACGAGGAATAAATCAATGAATTTAGACTATCAAAGACTAAGAATCATAAGTATATAAAAATAAGGCGTTTTCACACCTATCACTGCATGAACCTTATCAGAATACAAATTAATTTTTGAATTGCACTTTATGTTTGCCATGAGTGTTTAAAAGGCTCGAGGAGTATTTTTAATGTTACAATGTATTATTAGAAATTGATCAACTTTGTAACACCACCCCCAAGTAATTGTACTTTATCAAATTATGTATCGAATCCTGAGAAATGAATAAAAACATTTTTACGTAATTGTAAATTTTTATCATTTCTTTTACGTGAATAGTAAAATTCACGTGGGGCCCACACGGAAAGTGGGGCCGCCCGATATTATCGGGACCACATATTATATTAATCTTGTACTAGATAATATGTATATGGTGGTGGATATCCTAATTGGGCCATGGCAATGGCATAGAGTTGACCGGATGGTCAAATGGGGCCAAATTATCAATATCGGCAATTTATCAGATAGCAGCCCAAAAGGGACTTCGGAGACTTCTAAATTAATGTTGGGGAATGCATATTGATTCTAAGGTCCCATAAGGATTGGGAACAAATGTTATATTTTATTTGACCCGATAAAATAAAATATAATTAAAACAGTCCGGAAAATACAACTTTCGGGGCCGATTGTACACTTCGGGACACAAAGGGGTGACCTCCCACATGTGTGGGGGCCAACCCACGAGTTTAGCCTTGAAATGGGCTACGAGAGCCGCACAACAAGAGGGCAAAGGGGGCAGGATATGATGGGGATCCAAAAACAATAAAAATGCATGGGACCCTCCCATGTTATTATTGAGAGAAATGTCAAAATGGCATTCTCAATCACCCCAGCCCTTACAGCTCGTCCAACCCACCCAAGGAAGAGTTAGAAGGTCTGAAAATACACCATTTTTCATCCACCATTTTCGCACAAAGCAAGGGGAGGAAGAAGGAAGTGAAAAGAGAAGAGAAAAGGGGAGAATAGGGAGGAAAACTTAAGATTTGGAAGGTAATGACTCCTTTAATCTCATTTCTTGTTCCTCAATCATCTTATATGATTATACAATCATATTTAACACCCTAAGATTGTTCTACACGTTTGGAAGTGTAGAATGAGGGGTTGGAAGGTAGTTCTAGGTCCAAGAACGGACTTAGAAGCCAAAGTGACCGGTTCGCCGGAAAATAACCTTTTGGAGGTTATTTGCATTAATATGGGTTTTATTATGATAAAACCTTGTTAGTAACTTGTTTAAGGTATTCAAGGAGCTTTCACGGAGTTGAAAGGGTCGCCGGAGTTCGTTGAAGTTCACCGGAGTTTCACCGGAGCTCAATAAGGGAGGCTAGAACTTCATAAGCTTCATTTAAGGTGAGAAGACGGCTTTATGCTTTATAACTATTGCGTGAGGCATGAGATTACCTAAAGTAATCAAAAATATTTTTTATGGAACGATTAAGGATAATCAAGTATTTGCTTATGCCATGATTATATATAAAACATAGTTGAAAAGCATGCTATTTACGTTTGATGGTTAAAAATGTGATAAATAATTATATGCGATGTTCCAGGGATCCAAAATGGTATTTTTGGATTGAGGATGTCAAGAAGTACATGTGTGTAAAATTTCACGTTAATTGGACTCCGTTTGGGTGGTCAAACGGGCGTTGACCGCCAAGTCAGCTAACATACCTCACCGGGTATTGACAAGTACCCGACCGGGTAATTGTTGAAGGATTGCCCCGGGGGGCTACTGCCTCCTATACCGATCGAGTATGGGTAGATACTCGATCGAGTATACATTGAAAATTACCCTTGTGGGCTACTGCCTCCTGTACTCGACCGAGTATAGGTGAGCACTCGATCGAGTATTGGTTTATGCTCAAAACGGGCAGTTTTGAGTAGGTTAACGTGGGCCGTTCAGGTGGGACCCGCCCACGTTGGTTCCTAAGGATTGTTATATGACTATAGGGCTAGGCATTGTCCATAGTTAAGGGAATGAAAGGTTAGCCATATCCAGGTTAGGATTTGGTAGAGGATAGACTGGGGATCGAGTACCCTTGGACGGTAAATGATCCAGAATACTCCAGGTGGGGCCGAGTACCCTTGGACGGTAAATGATCCAGAATACTTCAGGT